GACGGATCCATATGAAAGCACAGAGGATAGCTTATATCGGGAAAAGAGACATAATAAAATCTATCAAACATGACAACACAAGTCTCTCTTGCACCTATGTTTATCAATATGTTCCCTTCTGTCTCCTTTTCTTTTTCTCTCTCTTTGGATTTCCTCTTTGCTCTTCATTATCTTCATTCTCCCCACCACCCCAAACTCCTTTAACACCAGGACTCTAGTTGTTCCTCTTTTAAAAACATATTGTATATAGGGTTGGTTCTCCTAAATTTTCTTTGAAGTCACAAGGAATTATTCTGCATCAAGCTCTTGGTCAGTTGACTTACGATCTGATGGTGCTCGATGCCTGCAGCACACATAGCGTCCATTTCCTTGGCATTTTTGTTACTGATCAGACACTGCAGAACTTCATTTGGCATTGCATCGCTTTCCAGCTGACCCTGCAGAAAAAGTCCCCCACAAGTGGAGTGAGCATCAGGAGAGGGCAAAACAATTACACATTTGAAAGAGACTGATCTCAAAATAAAATTTTATGTGGTAAGAAAAAAATAACCAAATAACTAAATACTCACTGACACTCCAAATATAATATTAGTTCAGAAAATAGTCACTGCCTTGTAAACTTATGGAGACTATTACACACCAAATGAAATGATGCTATTTGTAGCACCACGTATTGTAAGCACAAAGTTTTATTGAGAAAGAAAGTTACATGAACTGTAAACAAAAAAAACAAACCGTCCTCTATTCGACAGATTTTTGTCATGTGTGTTGGGGAGAAGACTGACCTGGCAGAAGCGTTTGATCATCGGGGTACAATGCTTCATGAGGATCTGGTCCATCTCCAGGTCCTCCATCTCCTCAGACGTGAACTTTGTCACGGCTTCCTGACATTTCTTCGACCTCAGGTCCTCCAGATGCAACTGAAGGCATTCCATCTCCTGTGACACACAACAAAAAGTCAGTTGCTTCTCCTGCCTCTTCCAATTTTTCTCCGTTCTTTCTGCGAGACCTCTACAAAGTAAGTAAGTAGGTTTATTCAGGGTTTAAGGCATTTGGCCTACATCACATCACATAAAACATTCATTTGATAAGTAAAGTTTCCATAATGAATAAGTACAGGTTGTGCACATATCTCTCATCATGGGTCAAACATTGCATATTTCTGTCACTGGGCCGAGTCAGGCTGGGAGGGATTAACAATTTCCTTTGATGGGCAAAGTGTAAACAATAGAAAATAAAGTGAAATTCATCTTCAATTTCATGAGAGTTACATCTCTCCCATAAGGGCGAATTAGTTAATTTCCACCGATAGCAGGGCTGTCTACCTCAAAATTCCAATTTCAGGTTCAGGGTCAGTTTCAGGTATTTTGGCTCAAAATCAGGTAGTACAAAGACAAAGAAGGAAAAAAAAAGATGATCGTTGCCCCATCAAATGCGCTTACTTTCCGTGATATTGGGTAATTATATTTTGAAAACTTGTTTGTGCATGCACGTGTGTGTGTATGTGTGTGTGTGTGTGTGTGTGTGTGTGTGTGTGTGTGTGTGTGTGTGTGTATGTGTGTGTGTGTGCGTATGTGTGTGCGTGCATGCTCAAGCGTGTGTTTATATGTGGGGAGGGGAAGGGGGTGTTTGGGTGCGCACAAGTTAAGATTAACAGTGTGTATGATATGTGGAGAGTTTGTTTTTGTTTTTGTTGTTTTAAGCATTTATATTATGTACTATCGTTCAAGGCACCTATCATTCAGTATTGAATCTGGAATTGAGTGCAGGGTGACTGCCTAACTGACTTCAAAACCCCAAGCCCATACCAATAGAAACTACATTCAAACATACTTTCCGACACTAGCATAGGCCACTGATGTCTTTTGTGACTTAAGTATGACAGACAATTTTAACTAGTTTTGCCCTAAAAATACAAAATGAATCCTGATCTGGGCCTGCGGAGAGGCATGAAGAACATCATCAGCCAAAACCATCATGTTTGGTTTCAGTAATCACCGATCTGAAAAAGCATGCAAGACAAAACTTAATATTAAAACCTTTATAGTTAGGCTCACGGCAGAGCAAAAAAGCGACAATAGAAGAGAGCGTGTACTGAGAGCCGGAGCTGGAAGGACTGTGAGAGCGTGGGATGTAAGCTAGTGATGCTGAAAACCTGGCAATCAGTGAATCACTGCATCATGGACTAAGTACTGATTTTTTCAAAATGCTAAATCACAGTACCAGTTTTTAATCAGCAACAAGCCATCATGATGAATAGGAATCCAACATAGAGCTTTCCGAGGGTTGACAATGACATTTCCTCATCACTATTCAATTTTTCATCATTGACAAATCCGACAAATCCGGGAACACCAACCTTGAAGATACAATCATCAAGCCTGAATGAACTCTAACTCTAATGTTCCCTCATTTACGCACTCGATTGTTGAATGTCAAAACCACTTCCACTTATCATTTTTATTTTAGCATCAGTTTCTTGAACTGTGGCCTTATCCTGCTGCAGTAGATTTTATTGCGTCAAACACCTCCCCTCAATTCCGAAGCCCTGCAGCAACGCTACTTTGAATGAACTTCAATTACGCCAACAACCGCCAGCCGGTCCCTTTTATACGGGATGCCCACTACAGCTGGATCGGGCCGATTTTTCAGGTGATCGAGTCGGGCGATCGGCCCGATCGGCCGATCCCCCAGCCGTAGTGGGCACCCCGTATTGCTCATGCCGTACCCACACGATGCCAACGCGCACTACTGTAGGTTCACTGACCGGTCACGATGATGGGCCCGACAATCTAGAAATCGGAGGATGCTTGGGGGGTTTTTTTTTTGGGGGGGGGGGGTCATTATAGTGACAGCAGTGAGAATATCAATTTATTTTGTATGGCGACACTGTGTTTTTTGTGCACAAACTGCACGTTACAATTTTTTATTAACTGTAACTGTAAATCTAACGTTACCTCAAACTATCATCGGACAATAATTTAAGTGGTTACAAAAGTGAAAGTAGATTTTGATTTTCCCGATGGAGTCTCAATATCGGTATTAAACTTACACTTCTGTCAGCCGCCATAGCCGCTTATTCGCGTGAAACGTACTCTCGGACTGGGGAACGCTGAACGTAATACATGTAATAATAATAATAATAATAATCATAAATAGCATTTGTATAGCGCATATCCCCGCTCAACAGCAAGCTCTATGCACTTTACTCTATGTATCACAAACGCGACACGTAAAATATGAACTCAGTATAGCCTTTTCAGATTTGGTCTTGAATTAAACGGACAGATATTCCAGCCGCAGCAAAAACACGAAGATAGACAGAAAGAATGAATGGATGAAAGGAAGGAGGAAGAATATCGTGAGTAGACAGATTTTAGTCGATATGCACGTGAAAAACTATTGCCGACCGAACGGCACAGATAGACAATGGTTGAGTGTATGAAATGCACGATCTGGCAGTTTCTAATACAACTTATAGCCGAGAGTCTCTCTCTCTCTCTCTCTCTCTCTCTCTCTCTCTCTCTCTCTCTCTCTCTCTCTCTCTCTCTCTCTCTCTCTCTCTCTCTCCCTCTCTCTCTCTCTCTCTCTCTCGTACGAAACTTTCGGAATGTACGGGTTGACACAAAAACAAAGAAGATTGGAAGCACTGCAGAACGCGGTTTTCTTTTCTTTTTCTTCTTACGGCACCCATCGAAAATCCGGTAATTTTGACACCTTGTCGGTATGGCGGTAGAACAGGCCCAAAATCGGTATCTACCGGAAAAATCTGTAGATTTAGGCAGCCCTGCGATAGAGATTGTTATTTAATGGAAGGCTATGGGTTTTTAACAAAGCTGCGACTCATCTGCTCCAATACCGTGGGAGGTTGGAGATATATTCAGCTGTTTCTTGAAACAGAATTGTAAGAGAGAAAACATTATACTTGCGACAGACTTCTTCCTCCATGTTCTGCACAGAATGATCAACAAGTCTACTTTTTACTTCACTGAGAAAGAGTCTAGTACTTTCAACATTTTGATAAAACCAAACCCAGGGAAAATAATAGATTTTTAACTTCTGTAGCCCAGTTGACTCTGCCCAGTTCACAGGAACGATATAATTACATGTAACATTTCTTTGGATATATGTCATTTTCTAAGTGTATAAGTCTGCACCAGAATTTAATGACACAATGCATGGAATCAGAACATAAGTTGGTTCTTCCCACTTCTCTTAGAACTAAACATTTGGGTGTAGTTTTACCAAGACCCAAAAAGGCCTTCCAGAACTTTACCTGAATATTATCAATCACTCCCAATTTTTGGTACCCCAAATTTCAGAGCCATTAAGCAGCATTGGTTTAATCTTTATATCAAAAATGTTTTTTGCTGTTTCCAAATTTAATTCTTGGTAAGAACCTTGAGCTTTACAAGCTCAATCTTCCAGCATTCATCTCCAGCATAGACCTAAAATGAAAATGAAATGCCCAAGTAACTATAATTAATAGGTTACTGTCTCTACGATTTTATCCTCCCAATACCATCTCTTAGATTTTTTTAGATAGCCTCCATTTCTAAAAACAACAATCTTACTTTTCTCTGTATTCACTTTGAAACCCCACATCTGGCAGAAATCATATAACACATTGATTTTCTTTTGTAAACTCTGACATTGTCGTCAAAAAGACTTAGGTCATCAGCGTACATTAAACAAATACCATCACTATCATTGGGCAATACCTGTATAGCATGGGTATTTGACTCTGAAAGGTGTTTTTCAAATTGAGATATAAGCAAAGACAATAATATTGGGCTAAGTATGCAGCCTTGTTTGACACCTGATGTACATTGGAAGTATTCAGTAACATAAGATTTCATGAATCCTCGTTCATCTGAACAGACTTTAAAACAAGAAAGAACATTTTGAAACATATTTTTCAAAATGGAGACCTCTACAAAGACATACTGCGAGACCTCTACAAAGACGTAAATTCAAGCAGTTCCTCTTTTTTCATACTACTGTATGTCATTTTCAATTCTAATGCAGCCAGCCTGACAAAACCTGATCTTTTTCCACTTTCAGTTGCTAAGTAGTTATCAAAATTTTGCGACTTATATATGGTACCTCCAAGTTTTCAATCAAAGCCCGAAAAAAAAAAAGGTACTTGATTAAACCGACCCTTGGACTACGGGTGTGAAAAAGCAGGAAAAAAATCCTCCACAGATATCTACTCAAAACGAAGCCTGAATGTATACGGACTGGATAAAAACCAGGGACTTTGACATGAGAGCCAAGCACCTACCTCCAGACCAGCACTTGTCAACCTTTATTAAAACCAGTGCCTAATTTTGCCACCTTTCACTCTTTTTATCCGGGCTACGAGTATACTCGTAACGAGGACCAGTCCGGGCTACGAGTATTCTCGGAACAGCGATACGGTCACGTCAAAGAAGCTAGTTCTGCTTGTTCTTACCAAAATACGCAAATACGGCGATGCTAGCTCTGTCTGAATATTTTAATTTTCCAATGAACTGTGGTTTCTTTGTTTTTGATGGGTGTAGCAGCTTGAAAGATGTCTCGAAAACGCACATTCACGACCAACGAAGTACTTTTTGAAGTGGCGCTGGGTTGTGAGGGGGAATGATACTAATTTGATGAAAGTGACTCTGAAATAGGTGCCGTAAATTCCGTTGTGGATGATAAGAAACAGGACTTAGACTCATCTAATATCGATTCAGATCATGGTGAAGGGGTCAGTACTGGAATACGTGCTCGAGGGTAGGGCTAGATCTAGATCTATAAAATCCAATGGGACGTCGTGGGCGCGACAATCAGGGTCAAGTTCGAAGGTGGAATACACCTCAAAATCTATATTGTGCTATTGGTGTATTTCCTAACCACATACATTTACAAAAACTACATTCAATTTCTAACATAATGGCCAAATTTCCTTAAAACCTTAGAGTAAATGTAAGAAATACAACACTTTGAACTATACGCACTGACTTCCCACTCATACGGCGCGGCATCCCCAGGACGGGTACAAAGTCCGCGGGGGTACGGCTAGGATAAAAAGAGTTAAGAGGCTAAAATGTTCATACTCCTCCCCAGAATCTGTTTCTATGCAGGCCATTAAACAATACTGGGTGACCCCCATTGCCTGCCAAAATGACAAAATCGCCCACTAGCGGGCTATATGGCCAAGGTTGGCAAGCACTGCTCTAGACTAACAAGCCTCATTCATAGAACTGAAAAACCTTAGTAGCTGTGGTTTCTTCACAGCTTTGCTGTGAGAAAACACATTTGAAGAACATGCAGTTTTATCATCTATGTTTCACACGGCTGTTCCACTCAGGATCGCTTAGTTGCTGGCCGACCTGACTTCCGAGACGAGGTCACGCTACCTACGGCCACTTGTACTCGAGGTCAGGGGCTTAGCCAAGATGCTATGTTTTGAATGCATAAAACAACATCAGTTCTTATTACAGCCGGGAAAGTCAAACAAATAACAACCAAATGATCATACAGAGACGAATTAGAAAAATCTGTTTTTTAGTTATGTTTTAGTAAGTGTTTTACTGCACTTGCAACACAATAAGGTCATATAAGAGCCGAAGATTAGAGGTGTTATAAGCGAGTAACAAACACAAAAATGAAGGAGCAGAGATCAGGATGATAGAAGTTTGATAGGAAAGAAGGAGCAAACCATACCAGAGCACCTGCCAGCCACCCACAATCTGTTTTTATATTTTATAAATTCAATAACACACAGCTGTACAACAGTGGTAGTATATATAGGTATCCCAAGGGAACATAAAACAAGATAGAAGCTGTTTTCAAACTGCGGGTTATAAAGGAGATGCTGAGCTTTTATTTGGTGTATAACACTCCTAGGTTTACCGGATGGATAAAGGGAGTACCATGCCGTAAATTCCAGTTAATTTCTTGAAATTGTACCCTTTCCGCGCGGATCAGTCAGATCTAGGGATGAGCCAGTGGACGTGGCGTTACGCGTCCAGATTTATTACCTTCCGCGAGGGGTCAGAGGGGTCAGCCGGGCTACAAATAAGTGCGCCTCTCGGAGAATGAAACTGAACAGCCGTGTTCACTGTCTTCCTCGCCCAGCAATTTCACTGTTATTATCAGTACCCTCAGGGACATATAACACTGCTGCTAAATAAGTGTATACAGCAATTATTTGCACAAATTAGTTCTCTATCAATTATGCAGTACCCTTGCTTAAAATTATGTGAAATGGGGGTAAAGCATGAGAAGCTTCTGTTGTGAGCAAACCAAGTAAAATCAGAGAGAGGACAGGACTGCTTTCATACTAGTGGGCAATCTCTGAAAGAATGATCTCAGTCAGTTAAGAGTAAATATCATTTACCAAAAAAACAAAGCACAACGCTCAGACGAAGATCATTTTTTAAGAAATGTACAATAAGAGGAAGGTGGAATAATCAAAATTTGTGGAGAATAATCAGGGAGTGTAACAAGCTAGAACTTACAGCTCCTTCTTCAGTATGTTCATCGTTGTCGGAGCAGAATTCAGACAGGTCCTTGATGCAGTGCTGCTCTACCTCTGGATTGAGGTTGATTCTTGCTCCACGCTCTCGCATCACACGTCGAATTTCGTGGATGCATGATCGGGATGGCTGCCAACATATAAAAACATGATCAGATCTGGTAAATAAATGTATAAGAATTAGAAAACAATTTTCTTGTCTCTTTTTTTCCCAGACTGCTGTTTCTGTTACAAGCTCAGATTTGTGACTTTTCAATTTCCAGAAAAGGGATTCCCCTCTCAATTCATGCAACCCTCCTCCCCTCCTCGCTTACATAATTATTACAGAAAAAAAAGTAAACTGCAATACCGTTCACGAATATGAAACAATAAAATAAATCGCTTTCTCAAATAAAAACACCTAGGGGGCTCTTGTGGCCTAGAGGTTAAGGCGTTCACCTCTCATTCAATAGGTCCCGGGTTCGAATCCGGATAATGAAGGAAAATTTCCTTCTCTAAAATGTTCTCCTTTCAAATCCTTTCCTGCTCTGTAACAATATTCTGTCATCTCTTTTCATCTCCACTTTCTGCCCCCAACCCCTCTGCTCCCCCCTCTGAGCTCCTGACTCTTTCTGAAGCCTTTCTACTGGTATTCCTTGGCTCCTTACTGCTGTCTTTCAGCCACACCCCTGATCTTAAGGTAGGAAAGACCTACACCTAGCCTTCTCAGACAAGGGCGAAAAATCTCGGAGGTCCCGTGTGCATGTTACGCACGCCAAAGATCCCTTGGTGGCCCAAAATCAATTAGAGTAGGTTTCCTCCGCAACCCACGCAAAATTCAAAATTTCCTACCAACCGAAAAATGTTTAATGTGTCCTGTGTGCTCATATTACCTTATGCGTTTGAGAGCGCCTTAAACACTTACCAAAAAAAAAAACACACACACACACACACACACACAAAAACCACCACAATCACCCCATCCCACTAAGAGGAATCAGATGTTGTCTGAAGGAAAATCCAACCCAAAAAATATCCCCACAAAAAATGAACAGTCACACCTAAAATAGGGGGATGCAAGACTTCCGAAAGTGGCTGGAATATGCCAACCAAAACATAAATTAGGAAGGCATGCTGCTTTTAAAAATGGATCTTGGGCATACTGTATTGTTCAGAACATTTTAAAATGTTCAGCGTCACGACAAATACATTCACACAAGTAACAGAAACAACAACATCGCCCCCCCCCTCCCCCCCCCCCCCCCGGCGTCCATCCTGTGAGAGAGTGAAACTGATTCCATTACTGTTGATGCCATTGCTGCTATTCTTACTCTTATTCTGGTCATTCCAAAGCGAAAAGCTATACCATAAAATAATCCGGTCCGTGTTAGATGTTTCGGCTTTCAAGAAGGGAGTGAATTCCTGGTGCAAAAGAAGGAAGTAAGCAGCACTAGACCCTTCACCAGTGCTTGTCAACCTTTCAAGAGATAGCGCCCACTTTTGCCACTTTTAAAAGGCTAACATTTTCATACAGCCCACCTACATGTATTTCCAAGCGGGGCAGTAAATAACACCTGTCACTAGTCGGGTGATCCCCATCACCCACCAATAATTGCCAAATCGCCTACTAGTGGGGGGTATTGCCCAGGTTGCAAGCACTACCCTCCACTCACAAACCTTCTTACCAACAAGCACTACCCTCCACTCACAAACCTTCTTACCAACAAGCACTACCCTACACTCACAAACCTTCTTACCAACAAGCACTACCCTACACTCACAAACCTTCTTACCAACAAGCACTACCCTCCACTCGTACACATTCCATCAACAACCACTGCCCTACACCCACAAACCTTGTATCAACAACTACACCCACAAACCTTCTATCAACAACTACACCCACAAACCTCCACACACATTCCATCAACAACCACTGCCCTACACCCACAAACCTTGTATCAACAACTACACCCACAAACCTTCTATCAACAACTACACACACAAACCTTCTATCAACAACCACTACCCTACACCCACAAACCTTCTATCAACAACTACACCCACAAACCTTCTATCAACAACTACACTCACAAACCTCCATCAACAACCACACCCACAAACCTTCTATCAACAACCACTACCCTACACACACAAACCTTCTATCAACAACTACACCCACAAACCTTCTATCAACAACTACACTCACAAACCTCCATCAACAACCACACACACAAACCTTCTATCAGCAACCACTACCCTACACCCACAAACCTTCTATCAACAACTACACCCACAAACCTTCTATCAACAACCACTACCCTACACACACACCTTCTTATCCTTTGGGTCCTCAGAGCGGTACAGCCGGTGCAGACAGGTGAACACAAGGGGACCCTGATCAGGAGTCATGGACTTGAAGTCACCCTGCTCATGGCACAACTCTTTCGCGTCTTTCTTACATTGTTTGAACAGGTTGTGATCCAGCCTAAAAGAAAGATGAAAGTGTTTAGTTTAGTGAAGTTAAGTAAAGGTAAGTCAAGTTAAGTTAGTCAAGTTGAGTTAAGTTAAGTAAGTTAAGTTCAGTTTAAGTTAGTTAAGTTAAGTATAGTTTATAAAGAGTTTTACTGCACCTGCAATACAATTAGGTCAAATAAGTGCAAAAGATTAGAGGTGTTACAAGATGGGAACATACAAATAAAAGGAGGAGAGATAAGGACGATAGATATTTGATATGTAAGAAGGAGCAAACTACACCATAGCACCCACCAACTACACACAATGAAAGTGTGATGAAGAGTTGTAGGGCACAAAAAGAAGACACTTCGGCTTTAGTAAGAGTTTTATCGCACTTGCAACATAAATAGGTCATATAAGAGCCAGAGATTAGAGGTGTTGCTACTAGCATGACACATAGAGAATAGAAGGGGGCGAGATAAGGACATCGTGTTATACAGGAAATGAGGAGTAAACCACACCACAGCATCCGCCAACCACCAACAAAATAGACCCATTTAGCAAGGAACCAGTAAGGACAACAGATTACGAAAGAGAAGAAAGAAAAGAGCAGACCAAAACAGAGTACCCATCAGTCACATGGCGATGGCAAGGGGAGGAACAGTGAGGGGGCAAGGGAGGGAAAAAAGCCTTGCATGACATTTCCCCATACTCCTAATTAGGTTCCTCCCCTTTGAGAAAAGACAATGGAAAAATGTTTCTGTCTATGAGCTTACTTTATTAACCCTATCCGCACGTCGTGTTTTACTATCGCATCCATACTCTGTGCCACCCCTTTCCAAAGAGGAAATTTACTCGTTAATCCAATCCGAATGTTTTGCAAAGCAGTCTGTCAAAATAATTTTTTGAGAAATACTGAAAGTGTCCAAGAAATCTTAGTTCAAGAAGCATTCTAAAATGTGAAGAATACAACCCCGGGGGTACAAATTGACCCCGGGGCGTACGGAAGTGGTTAAGAGAAAATAAAATCTAGCACACAGCTGAAAATCCATTCTACTTTATTCGAGATTTTTTTTCCCCCTTTCAAATTACACAAAATGATGAATAAATGATGAATAAATGATGAATAAATGATGAATAAATGATGAAAAAATTAACTGTTACTGAGCAACAACAAAGAAGATCTGTTTGGAAGTTTGGTAAAGTTTTATGGGGCTCGCAACTGTTTAACTCTTTAACCATGTCTGAACGGTGGCAGCGTCCGCTAGTCGAGGTCCGTATCCATGGCCGTACGGTATCACCGTCTGATGCGAAGTTATTATTGTATTATGGTACGAGCCGAATATAAAAAAATAAGAGCTGACAAGCCTTTAGTTTGACCGGAAGTCAAAGATAAAGGAATTCTACATCTGGGTAACCCTTTATCGAACGGTTTGAAGCAAAACAAGCGTTTTTAAAAACGTAGTATGTCGGGTTGCATTTCCACAAACAAGAAAACTACACAAAAACGTGATTTTAAATTGCATGGTTTAAGAGTTATGGGCACTAGGTACAGCTGAAGTGAAAATTTTCGTTTTGGCTCTAAATTAAGTATACTGGGATTCCCAATGATGAATATGGGTCAAGAAACAGCAATACATTATCCCTATATGCTTTGACAGTCAATTTTCTGAATTCTTGAGATGCAATGGGTTCGACAGACCAAAATTTGCGTAAATTCTATGCAAGGATTCTGATTGGAACAGCCTTGATATTTTCACAGTGTTTCTGGATGTACAACCTGCAACGTACTAAATATTTACTTTCCTTTGTCTCATACTTTTCTTGTAACTGCCCTTTTAGTGTTATATACGATACTCTGACAAAAAAAATTGATCACAAATCAGAGTGACACTGTCAATCATTTTTACACTGACAGAAAACTTAGTACACTATCACAATAATCTTTTAGTGTGTTGCAAACATATTATCCAGAAACAGTCATGCAAAGTGGGATTGAGCTGTGACATGTACTTTCAGAAAAATCTCTGCATAGGTGACCCACCCCCCCCCTAAGAAAATCAGTTTTGAGAAAACAAAACAAAAAATGAATTCATACTGGTCTATTTCAACACAATGTTTTAAAAAAATGGCATATGTGAGCACTTTATAGATGTTTTAGACACTTGAAAATATTTCCAATTAATAAAACAGATGTTGCTCTACTAAAATGGTCCAAAATCGAAAAATTGGTTTTGGATACCAAAATCGACTTTTTCTGGCTGTTGGCTACTGTCGTGGTGTACCATAAGGTCCTCTAAGACAATCTCTGAAGAACAAACTGGTTGTTTGTCGTTTTTTTAAAATCTTTCTCCTTTGCCCATTTCTATAAATTGACGCCATCTGATTAGTAGAAAAATGTGTGTACGATGGTGTCCAATAGTGTATAACGTACATAATTGTAATGACATGTAACTGTTACAGATAGATTTTCAAGATAAATATAGATGTATGTGAAGTAGACCTGCATGTGAGCCTCAACCAAATAGCCTGAAAATTGTGCGCATCCTTCCCCCCGCCCCCCCAAAGAGCTTTTGCAAATGTCATAAAAGGAAGGCCTTCCGACACTTCCGTGTAACGAGCGACCACCCCAACAAACACAATAAAGAAAGAGACCTAACCCTGACCATAACCCAAAAAAAGAACCTGCAACGCCCTTTAGAAATGTAAAAAAGCCAGCGCAAGTCCAAAATGAAAAAAAAAAACACACCCCAAAACAAACAAAGAGCATAAATTAGCCTACATTGCTATAATCGGGTGTGATACATTACTTCAATAAAATTGGAATATGAATCCTCCATTGAGGTCTATAATAATCTAAATCTAGATTTAGATATCCAGATATCTCTTGAACAAGTGAGTAGGCCTTGAATGAATCCTCATCCGAACAATCGGTCAACAGACGAAATTAAAAATGGCCGCTCGAACACGAAACTGAAAGTACATTCAATTTAGGTCCTCGTCCTTTTTCATATTCGTATTTCTTTTCAGTTTCCGACAATTATGTAGGAAACGCCGACGTCGGCAGTCGGCACGAAAACGAAAGTGTAGACAAACCCGATGGGAGAAAAGGGGGCGCTGGCAATCGGCCTGGCCTTGCACTTCGCACATTGACTAATACAGGTGGGCCTGACGATAGCATCGGCCGGGTCACGGCGATTGTCAGATTTCAGATGATTATCGGCAAACATGTAGGTCTTGTGAAGGATCTGAGAGCAATGATGATTTTAAAAATGACGGTGGTGGTGATGGTGATAAGTGATGATGTGGGATGGTGTTTATTATGTAAATAATTATTAAGAAGACATATTTCTTTTGGTTGAGTTTTTTTGTTTGTTTTTTATGTTAGCCTTAGTGCCATCTTCCTCTGCTCCGATGAGTCACGAGGGATGTGGGCACCCGCTATCCCGTTCCCTACTGGAACCATCTTCCCTACTGGAATCATCTTTAATGTCACCGTGAAGGTTCGCTACAGAACAAACTTACTGGAAGTCCCGCACGGCAAAGTACTGGATCTCCAACAGCTTTTCCTCGCATTCGTCCGTCATGTCTTCATGGTCAAGATTGTCCAGCAGACACGTGATCACACTGTGCCAGAAACACATTAGGAGATTTAGTAGTAAGCATTTTCATTTCACCTCATGCTACTTATCTATCAATCTTTTGGTGCAAATCTAGAGGGAGTGTGCAAAATCTGAATAAATTTTGCTGCTCCTGGTGGAGGTGCTCAAGAAAATGACATATATGGGAAGAAAAGTGCAGTCTCAGTAGAAAAAATAAAGACAAAGTAGTTTCACTTGCAACAAAATACATGTGCAGCAACCTCAAAAGAAACCTTGAAAATTAAAGAACAACCGTAGATGTAAACTGCATGATTTCAATTTGAAATGAAATATATATTCTGAAAAACATAGACATTTATTCCGAGCCAAGGATAACCTGACACGAACTGTGGAAAAGCCCTTTCATCCTGCATCTTGTATACCACCCCTCAACAATGAAGGGGGTAGAGATGGTGGAAAGTACTTTGAATGGATAGAGAAAATAATACCGCAAAGAGGATCTTCTTAGAAAGAAATAGTGGAGGAATACAGCAAAGTCGTTCAAGCAGAGATTCCTGTGTCAGTATGATACAATACATTTTGTTCACAAGAAGTATATTACAATAATAGTAATATTGAGAAGAGGTCAAACGGGTAAACAGCACCAAAACTGCCATCAACAAAAAACTTGACATAAAGAAATCACACAAAGTCAAACAACTTAGTGTCATTTTTGTAACCAAAATAAAAAGCAAAGAGAAACATTCAACACATACTCTCCATGACCCTTTTTTCTGTCGTGGCAGGCAGAGGTCACGACCTCTCCACAAGCACGCTGAAGGGGTGGGTCTAGACGGATGTCCTCTCCTGGGTTGGCAATGTGCAAAAGTTTGGCAACCTGTCAAACAGAAAATGCAAATGTCTCTGAGTGTGTTTGAATAAAGAGAAGCCCATCCACACAATCAAGGTCACTGAGTGCTGGGAAAAAGCAAGGAATACGGACAGAAACTAAAGAAACACCACGAAAACTAGAAAAAATCCACCAAAAAATATGCATCAACCACCTACATAAACAAGCGTAAGCGCCATATAAAAGTCGTGGCCAATTAAAGGGAAAGTCTCAGATAAAGTCCTTTCCTACCATAGAAGGAGCTGTAGCATCTTAGTTTACAATGGCCTCATTTCACGAAGAAACTGAGCAAGACTACAGCAACACAGAAAAGAAATATACAAAGTAAACTAAACCTCTTGCCAACCAACCATCTTCATACTAAGAGCCAAAAAATCAAACTTACTTGGAGTTTGAACCCTATGAGATACAAAATAAATCAAATTCAAAGCAGAGTGTCTGCCTCCACTGAGAGGGAGTCAGTTTAGAGTCTGAGTGCAGAGAAGCACATTGACATAATAACGGTCATTTTGTGCTGGGGAAAAGCAAAACAGACGGAAGGAAAAGAGGGACAGGAAAGAAATAAGGCCAACCAGTCGCGACGTCAGCGCTTTCTTGTCATATCTCCATTTTTTAAAATAGTCAAAATGTGACTTCTTCTTAAGCTCACTCTTTCATGTTATGAACTGTTTTCACTGTTATTAAAAAAGGAGACACGACAAGAAAGCACTGAGGTCGTGCAGTGGTGTCCTCCAGCCACTCGAAAGAGAGGACTTTAGACAAATGAAAAACAGAAGAAAAAAGCACCCACCTCTACTCTGCACTTGTCACTGAAGTTTTTCTTTGCATCCTTACTCTTTTCCTTCGCTGCTTCCATGAGACAGTGGACCGACTCGCCGTCAGGGTCAAGGCCATCGCAGAAATGGTCGATCTCGTCCTGACAGGCGCTAACCAGCTCCGGGCTGATCTTGTAATCCTGCATGAGCTCAGAGCGCAGGTCAAACATCTCCTTCACACACTGGGACTCCAGTTGCACGCCTGAGATAGAACATTAACTTTTAGTACAATTTCAATTACCCTCGATGAAGCCTTTACATCATCAGTATAACTTTTAAATTTGAAGACATGCTTATTCTATTATACTAGAAGTGACAATGATGATGATTATAGGTTTTTTAAAATTGTCATAACATTACAGTAACACCCAAGTCTCCATTTACCTTACGTTCTTCTCCTCACACTTAACAATTATTTATTTGTATTACAGCAAATGACAATTATACCAAAATAAAAACATCTCTTCCTTTATATTAGACTAACAATTTTTAAAAAGACTTGACGCATAAAAGAATAAAAACATTAGCAGAAAATTGAAAAGAAAAATTTTACAGAGCTGAACATGCATAACAGATGATGGGAAAAGACCAGTATAATAACGGTTTTTTTAAAGCAGCCCTGCGGGCAAAAGAGAAGCTGACCATAATTTCTGATGTCTGTTTCAAATCCGGCACTTGAAGAAGATGATAAACATACATTACACATTCCCTCTTAACAGAACATTCCCATCCATGCGTGTGTGCATATCCCCCCCCCAGACACACACGCAGACACACACACACAAACACACACACACACACACTCATGCACGCACACACATGCAAGCCCTGAGACACACACACACACACACAGACACATATGCATACACACACACACATACATACACACAAACACACATGCACACGCACACACACAAACACACATAAACACACACAAACATAGACAAACACACACACATATACATACAAACACACACAAACACACACACACACACACCAACACACACAAATAGACAAACACTCGCACACACACACTCGCACACACACACTCGCACACACACACTCGCACACACACACACACACACACACACACACACACACACCCACACAAACTGACCATTGT